AAATTACTAAAGCAGCTAAGAAAAATATATCAAGAATTATAATTTAGCTTTAAACATTCTATACTTTCTCTATCAAAGTCACCAAACTTTATACAAATTTTAAACATATTAACAAATTTATAAGACAAATATAAGCAAATATAAAAACTTCTACTGCTTTAATACAAACATATAACAAAAAAATAAATTATATTAATAGTAAAACAGAAATACAAATTAATTATATTAGATTAGATAATCTAATACTTACTAATAAAGAAACACTAATCATATAAATAAAAGACAATACACTAAGCCAGAAAACTAGAAAACAATCTTACTTATCAAAGCATAATAAATAAATATATTAACAAAAAACATAATGATTTTAATAACAATACTACTCATATAATCAATAGTATATTAAAGAAACATACAGGCCCAGTTTTACTTTATAATATATACAAATTAAATAAAGTTATTACTGGGCCAAAACCAATATGAAAAAAGTACAAACATATTATGAGAACTAGACAAAATTCAATCTACCCAATTGGAATTACTAAAAGAATTTGAAAGCAAAAATGCAAAATTATAAACAATATACAAGACTACTGATACAAGAACATTTCAATCCCAATTATTTTAAAAGAGTTAAATAATATTATCAAAAAATTACCAATTAGTAAAGCAACTAGATTATATGGCATTTCAAATAAGATGTTAAAATATCTAAATAGTACTGGTCTAACACAACTCTGTATTATACTAAATGCATGTTTAATATTAAACACAATTCCAAAACATAAAAGTATAGTAACATTTATTCTATTTTCAAAAAACCCAAATTTACAAAACAACTAAATAATATATAACTTATAACTCTTATAGAACATATTTAAAAAAGTTTAACAAATATAATTACTAACAGGCTTAACAATATTCTTGTTAAATATCTAATGCTTAACAATAGCAATTATGTAGCTCTGTCTAATATCTTTACAGTTATACTAATATCTATACTAATACATATTATAAAAAGTGCAAATTCTTCTAAATAAAAACTATAACTACTATTACAAGACACATCAAAGACCTATGACTCTGTTTATATTTTATTACTATACAAAGCCTTATAGTAGATAAAAATATCAAAAAACATAATTAACCTAATAATTGATATTTTTACAGATTGTATAAATACTATAATTATAAATCATAACAATATACAAAAATATTCAGTTCACAATAAAATAGACCAAAAAGAAACAATTACTTCTCTATTATGGCATATATATTATAACTCTCTGCTAATTACAATTACTAAGAAACATATTAGATATGAATAAAGACAAATATATACAGTATATACTAACTAACAATACTACTATATACAAAACTAATTATTTAGTACTAGCATATATGGATGACACTATTTGAATTATAATATTAAAAGAAGAACTATTAAAAATCATAAATATAGCAATCATATTATATAATATAACTAATATTCAGGTCAATTTAACAAAATAAGTTCTAGCAACAAACACTTCTTAATTTATATCAAAGATGCTATAAAGTTTATATTAAGCAAATGTTTTAATAAAGCATGCAGATATCTGATCTAAGTTATCAACTTTTAAAAACACAACAATAAACTACATTTTATAACAAATAAAATCAGCTTATAAAATTAAAACAAAACTCAACAAACTAGAAATATATACAATAAAACAATACATAAACTATAAATACTTATATATATTTACTTGAATGCAAATTGCACAAACTATAACAAAAATATAAAGAAATAGAAAATTAAAATAGTTTAAACAAATGACTTAGCAAACTAATAAAATTATTAGTAACAAAAACTATATATTAATTATACCAAACCTTTATATACTCAAAGCCAAACAGATTAACAAAAAGAACTAAATTTATAATAGTAAAACAAAAAGTATAGAAAAGATTTTCTTTATAAAAGATTAGCATACAACAATACACTACTAGATAACAACTTCAAACAATACAATTTATAATCATATTCTAAATATAATCTTAACAAAATATAATTACAAAAAACAAAATACATCTCTATTCATTTTATAATATATTTAAAACAAGTTAAAGTAGACTTAAAATATAATTTCAAATATAACACAAAGGAACTAATAACAATATATTTTAATAACAAGCCAAACCAAAAATCTATAATTAAGCCTATTAATAATTATTTATTAAATTACATCAATAAACTTTTGCTAATATAACCAATACAATCTTACTACAATATAGCAAAAGTTCTTTGAAACCTTTATCAAAATATATTAAAAATACAAATAACTAATATTAAATTAATAATCTATAAACTAAACTTAACTGAAATTACTTTAGTCTGCTGAAAAACTGCATATCAAAATCTTAATTTTGTCTTAATAGTTATAGCTAACCAAGTACTAAAAAAGCATTATGCACAACCTTAATATGCATTGTACTTAGTACTTATAAAAATACAAATATAAACATATATATTAACAAAAAACAATTTACTTAAAAAGTAGAAACCATTTTAAATACTTCATCTTGGCACAATATTTAGATTTATAAAACCTTTTTCTGATCTAGTTAGTTAACACTAAAAGCAATTATAAAATAAAGATTTTAACAAGTTTATTTTCAATATGATAAATTATTAAATATTATAATTATGTTTAATACTATTATACATTGCTATAACATAAATTATATAGCAATAAAATATAATATATTTATTATCAACTAGCATAATACATGCATTAAGCATGTACTCAAAAAGTTTATCTAACATATTAACAATATATATTATATTGTTATATGATATTCTCAAAATTAAATAAATACTTTAAATACAATGGACACAAAAATTAACTGAAAAACTTTTTATAATTTTATAAACTTTTAATAATAAACCTACTACTAAATATATTTATTCCTCTTACTTTAATCTAAAAGTTTTTAAAATTAAATTCTTTTTTAATAAACTACTTACTTAAACAGTGCTTTACAATTATAACTTTAAAAACATACTGATTTTAATTGTTAGAGATGCAAGACCTATTCTAAAACAATAAATACTGAACACAATGCTATACTAATACTACTAATATTAAATCCATCAAAAACACAATTACAAATATTTTTACTAAACATTAACTAAACACATTTCAAAATCAGAACACTCTTACTATATTACTAATACTACTAGGTACTAATAATAAACAAGAAAACACAATTACTAAAAGTATCATTACTTTATATCAAAACAAGATAATCAACAAGATAATAAAAAGAAAACAAACTATACAACTACCAAAACAATATTGCATAAAATTAGCAAAGCAATATACAAACAAATTTGAATTATCTAATATTAAACAACATCTAAATTAAAACATATCAAGTCAACAATTCTCAAACTTTTCTGAGAATAGTAGATCAGATCAACCTATTAAAACAATTTCAAATAACACCAACACTCATATATATGCACCTATTAATTATAAAAATCTACAAGTTAAAAAAAGAATTAACTGTTAGACAAAAAACTTCAAAAACTACAATGCATTACCTAACTTTATAACAATAATTCAGAACTAAGCAAAGCCTTTGACCCCTTTTGGCAAAGTTTGGGTCAAGAGTAAACTAATCCTACCTTTAGTTTTTTATAAATAGAATAAATACTATATACTATATTATGTAATGTACTTATATATAAAATTCAATAAAAAAAACTAAGACAAGACCTTGCTTTAAAAAAAATATATATATTTATAGTAAAAATAAAATAAAAATTTAAAACTTTAAGATTATAATTTTTTTATTTAAACTTTATAAATTTATAAATTCAAATAAAAAGATTTTATTAAATTGAATTTGATTATATAATTGTCAAAACATTTTTACTTAAAATTGAAAAACAATTAAATGTCAATATTAAATAAAGATATCTTAACAATTAATTAAATTTAATAAAATTAATTTTATTTAAAATTAATAAATTTACGTTAATTAGGTGTTGAAATATTTTTACTTCAAGTTAGAGGAAAATTATTAACTATAGCAGCTTACGAAATTGCCATGGCAGATTTTCGATTTTGACTAATGGCTGAGATCTACAGAATTTTGACCCGCATTACATGATTGTTTACCAAAAATAGAGGTCATCTAAGCCATGTCCAATTACAGATCGTATTCTTGATATTTTTATAAACCACTAACCTTAAATGTATCAAAAAAGTAATCCCCGGCTTTAGCCATCCAAAAAAAATATTTTTTTGAAGAAATAGGCCTACACAATTGTAAATTTAGCCCAGGAACATTAGTAAAATTTTGAGTAATTTCGGCCCAAATTTTTGGTCGTCGCTCTTAGCCAATCAAAATCGAGAATCTGCCGTGACAATTTTTAAAATAAAAGCTGCGGCGAAAATATTTCGACAACTGCCTGACCAAATTCAATGTAAAAATTGACGCAGCATTTACTTTGATAGGGCGTTTTGATATCCTCTAACTTTGAGAGAAGATATCCCAACCACCTGACCAAATTCGATGAAAATTTTTTTTTTTTTGAATTCTATTAATTCATGGAAATCAAATAGAAAAGATCTGATTAGCTTGTTGTCGAGATATCTATGCACAAAGATCTAAAACTTTAATTTTTATTGGTGTGCTAATATGAACTATCAGCCCTCTATACGTACAAAAATGAATTATCAGCCCTCTATATGTACAAATATGAAATTATTAATATTTGTGTACATATAAACCTCATATAAATTTATTTATTTATTTGTGTATTTATTTATTTATTTATATTATATTATATTTTTCTCTATTTTTATGACAATCTCGGATTAAAACTCAGCCATCAAGTAAAATATCTAACCAATAAAATTGATATATTCGGACAATGGTATTATTCAATGCCGATATTGTGTTTCAAGCGCATTAACCCGAAAGTGAAATGTGTAACTGATAAAAACATGTTTACACCATCTGGACACCACCTCTGGACACCACCTGGTGGCAGATGGTATCGCCTGAAAGAAGATGGTACTACCAGATCGTCTCCTGGTGGGAAATCGACAACATATTTAATATTATAAAGGTAAACCTTATTGAAGTAGATCACTACCAATTACAGGATTCTCGATAATCTTATCGTTACACCGTTTGTTTGCAATTCAAGGACTTGATGCTAGTACTTGAGTAATTATTTTCAAACCCGGTCTACATTTTTGTCTGGATTCAAAAATAATTACTTGAATGGCTTGAATCAACTAAACTAACCATTGTATCTATCAAGCCCAGTAGGCAAAAAAAAAACAATTTTTACCCTATTTGTTATTTATATTGATTTATACGTAATATTATTGTTCAAATCATTGCAGCACACTAGCTATATAGCGATAGCATTAAAATACTGTTCTACTGAAGAATTCCGAGAATGAAAATCAAATATGCACAAAAAAATATACCAATCAGAATTTTAAAAATTAGTATGTGTGATATCATGCGATAAACAACTACATGTCGTAATTTCATTTATTAATGATTTTAACGTTAATAAATTTACGCCAAATAATTATCCGTAAATATTATACGTACTCTATTTAAATTGGTATAAGCCATCTCTCATTATGTACATGTATTTCCAAAATTTAACACAGATTATTTACAGATTATTTACAGATTATTTACAGATTATTTACAGATTATTTAATCTAATTTTTTTTTTTAAACCAGTGTGCTCGGATCTTTTTGATATTGATTTCGCCAATATCCGAACAGGTTTATTGTTTCTTTTACAAGTTTTTAACAATTTTTATACAAAAAAAGATTGTGATAGTCACCAAATAATTATTTAATTTATTATTAGTAACTATAATAACCTTCGTTTACCAATCAAATATCTTATACATTTGTTGATTAACAACTATATGGATATGGCAGTTGTTTTAACATGAATTCTGTATGGTAATAACTAATTTGTTGGATTAGACGTATGAACCATATGAGAGTTTCCAGCAAGAAACAGGATATAGAACGAAATGCAAGGTATTAAAAATTAATAAAATACATGTCGTTATTAAAAAATATAGAATTTTTCCGAGTGGTACAAAAATTTGCATTCAATTGCATAAAAAAGTATTGGGGAAATTACAAATAATGGTCTAAATTTGAAAATAATTACAAATAAGGACCAAAATGAAAATAATTATCAGATAGAGGCCCGATATTTGAAATGTATTGCAAATAAGGGCCCAAAATAATTTTGCCCGTAGATCAATGATACAAGCGCATAAGAAATGTAATAATGATAAATTAGTAATTCAAATAATTTAAAACCGCAATAAAAAATGCACGTACTTTTTCTAGTTCATTTTTAAAAACCTGTTGACAATACTTTTACTAATATTGATAATGTTCACTCGGCCTTGGACAGCTACTCTGTTGAAACCTCTTCATCCTATAAGTTTAGAACTAACAAATCAAACAAGCTACTGGTTGTTTGTCTTATGAATAAAGATAATTTATGCTTTTTTTACTGTTACAGTTAACAAGTGTAAAAATAGTTTGATTCATATAGTAAAGTTGATTCCTTATAATCAAGTTTATTCAACTTTTATGGAATTATTCAAGGCATGTGGATCATATTTTGTGAAGTTTACTGCATCATTAGTTAGAGACATAGCAGTACTTTGATCATGTGATATGAATTGTGTTTGTTCTAAAATGAAGGTTGTAATATTATATATAACTGCATAAAGAAGTAATATCATTAGTAAAAAATGTAGTATAGAGAAAATAAATAAGAGTTATTAATGTATCAAGTTATTATTAGATAATTTGCTTATGAAAAATTTCAGAAATGTTATTATGTTTGAAGTTAATGTTGAAAACTGATTCACTTACGCATTTTATATATTCATAATTAAGAATTAATATTATAAAATATTGTAGACCTATGTTTACTTTTAATATTTGTTATTCAAAATCAAGTTATAAAGATGTATTTATTAGTGCAAATGCAATTGATAATAAAATTAAACTTGTTTTTATAGTATTTACAGTTTGCTCTGTTGAAAATTTCAATAATTGATTATGATTTTATGAATACAAATGAAACTGTAATTATAAGTAATCATAAAAAGTTTTTTTTTATATAAATAAATTCAATAATTAGTAATTTTATACTATCAATTTTTATATAAAATATTTTAGATACTATACAAACTGAATTTTTAAATGTTTTATATATATATTATATATGATATATTAAAAAACTTCAATATGAATTTTAGAACAAAACTTTGTAATAAAATATGAGTTGCAATAAAAATAATGCATGTAAAATATTTAACAAAATTATAAAAAAATTAATAATATATATATAGAAACTGCAACTTATTAAATAAAATATTTCTAATTATATAAATTTTTAGAAAAATGTTTTCAAAATAGATATCTAAATTTTTTAATTTATTGTTATATAAAAAACATCTTATAAAACTATTTGATACAATTATCTTACTTATTTACAAAATTAATATTTTTTATTAAAATTATTACATAACATACTTTACAATGCAGACAGTATTACCACAAGTAATTTCAATTTATAATTAACAGACATTATAATTGAATGGTTCATCAAGCTAATAAGTCAATCTTTGAAATTGAAAATAATAGCAAAATTTTTTATTAACATACACCTGTAGTCATGAGAAAGTGGCACCAAAAAATCAGGTTACTTGTGAAAAATGTAATAAAAAGGATTATGTGCAGTCGAAGACATAGAAATAGAAAATAAGATTCATATTTTATTTAATGTTAAATAGTTTCTATAACATGTAATTATGCTTGCATAGTAATATTATACGTATTCAAAATTTGTGCTAATAAAGCAATTTATCCTTTTTTTTAATGAATTCGATATAACGAAATTCTAAAACGTCTAATTAATCATAACACTATTATGTTTAGACTGGCTTTTTCAGCTAACAATATATTTGGGCCTTATTTTCAAATATCGGGCCTCTATCTGTAATTATTTAATTTTGGGCCTTTATCTGTAATTATTTTCATTTTGGGCCCTTATTTGTAATTTCCCCCAAAAAATATTCTAAGGACTTTTGGCGGCATTCGAACATTTCTAAGGTTGAAAAAAATTTTTTCAGTGAAAGAAGGGACTAATAATTTTATAGTTCTAAGATTGTCTTTTTTTTTGTGTGGACTTTGAAGCCTGCATTATTGAGGATTTAAAAGAACCACACATTTCGTATTATTAGCATCAATATTGAAAAATTCGATTTAATGTTAATACATATTATATAATATTAGTATTAGCATTTTTTCTAATAAAATAAATTTATTAAAGAAATAAAATTATACGAATATTTGAACTACAAAAAGTGTTTTTTTTTTTAATTTGTGAGAAATTTTTGATGATATTTAAAATGGTTTGCTAAACAATCTCTATTACAACAAGCGACAATTTGACACTTTGGACAAACCAATAATCTCCAAATTTCTGTCAATTCTTTCGCCTCGAAACCACATTGAACACAAACCGGTTGTACTCTTGGTACTCTAGATTCTAGTAATCTATATTTAGTGTGAGCTTTTTTTATCAATTTATCTGCCAAAAGAAGGCCACAAGATCCTATCCTTTCCGTTTCTTGATATAATTTTAATGCCAAAGGATAGTCATTATCAGCTTCTGCCGTTAACGCATAACAAAATACCAAATTAATTCTAATAGCGCGCCATTTTTCATTATCTTTATGTGTTAAAACTTCAATAAAATTTGGATCTTTCAATGTTTTATCAATTTGTTTCATAAGTTTGATTCCGTGATTCCAAGTATGTAAATCTCTTTGACGATCAAATCGTGAACGAAATAATTTGTACCATCCATCCGAAATTATGTCAAGAAGCAATTTCAAATCCCACCATTTACAAGGGATCATTAATACAAGTTTTAAAGCGATTGAATAATAACCGGCTGCTTGAAGGTAATTTGAAGCCGTTAAAGTGTTTTGTGGATTAAGATGGAGTGCACCTAATTTAGTTGCTGCATACGCCGAACCCAGAATAGTTGCTTGCTGTAATAGAATTATGGATTGAGAATATTCTTGCACATCTTGTACTTCAAGTTTATGTTCAGCTTCGCGAATAAGATTTTGAACTTTGGTTGACGTTAATGGCATCGAAATTGATGGGTTATCAATGTCATCACAGACCAAAGTAGTTGTTAACCGAGGTAGGTTGAATTTCTCACTTAATTGTGGATTACCGATGGTCAAGGGTGAAGGTAAAGCTTCTCTTGAAATGCCTAAACCCATTTAGTTTAATTAAATTATTTTTTTCTTAAAAAAAAGAAAATTATGATTTAAAATTGGGGGGTTTTTTTTTTAAGAAAAAGAATTTTTAATTCTATTGTATTTATTATCAATTATTATTGAATTTATTTACTGCAACACTAAAAAGTATTTGATAATTTTTAATTTGTAACGACCAGTTCCAAAATCCTTGGCAATGGATTCATTATCAAAAAGATGAGATGCTTTTATATTGATCAATGGATGAACGTTGAACAATTGAAATAAGTTAGATTGTTACAATAGTTTTTTTTTTCACCTAAGTAAGTGGATGAATTTTCCGAGGGACGATCAGATCAAACTTAAATCCGGTTATATTATCGTTATAATTAATTTCTTTAAAAAATGAGGAATTGAAACATTCGATGAAATGACCCTGATCTAACTATGATTACTATACTAACAGTGGTCCTGGTTTTATGTAAGATGCATAAATTTTGCATATTTTAATGCCTACGATGCAAAATATTCATCTATAAAAGATCCAAAATTTTTTAAAAAAATTAATGATTTTTGAATTATCGTAGAAGCGAAAAATCCAAAATTTTAATTATTTTGATGTACTTGAGTTTATCAATAATATCAGGTTAAATATACTCTGTAAATACAGGATATATATATAACCTTTCTTTTATATATTACTTGGCATTGAGTGATAGCATAACATAACAGTAAACGAAGTTAAAATCATATGATATTCTTGAAAGGTAATTAGGCTTCTTGACCTGAAATAAAAAATTCGCACGTACGTAGTTACACTGATTTAGTTAGATTGTAGATATTCTCACATGTTCTTGTTTTATTCTTGAAATGGTGAGAAATTGTCTTTTTTGACTTGATTTACTTGAAATTTGATTTGTGATCGAATTTTTTGTTAAGTCCTTAAGTTGCTAAAAAGAGCTAAACGTTTCCTATCGATTAACTATCCTAAAAGCATGATAAACTCAAAATCGCAATGATATCTACTAATATTTTCATATGATTTGAAAGATTAATTAATGCAAAATAGTAGTATAATTTTATTCCTGAACTGATCCAACTTAGATTCTGTGACTTATAATGTATGGAAGGTTAACTCGTAAAATTCTTATTACAATAATACATAAAGCATTCTAACAATATTTTAAAATGATAATAATCCATCAAACATTAAATTATTAATAAAAATGTGATTTTGTAAATGTGATTTATCGTTATCGTTATAGAAACTTATAAATTATTGTTAATTTTACAACCTTCTATAGCGGTGGCAAACGGTATACGTATATTCTTTGCTAATAATAGTGTAATATGATAGGATGTAATTAATCTAATTAAAAAGGTTATGATCAAGCTTGAACATGTTATATCGTGGAATATCGTGGACATTTAATCTGGTCTAAGTCTTGTACAAAAAAACCGATTAAACTAAACTAAAAATATTTTGCCATATCAACATCTTGAACTGGCATATATTAAATTCATCAGCATCATCAATTAAGATTATTCAAATGATCGAATGATGCGTGATCCCGCGTATTAGATTTTAAGATACGTGCGTACATAATGGAGGTATGTATGCACACGTGCTAATTTATTACAATCACACACCCGCCACAACACCTTTACTATTGCTACGTATGTTTACGTATCGTGTAGAATTCAGTAGGGTTGATGAATATGCCAAATATAATTTATTTTAAAAATAAAGTAGAGCAACCAAATTTAGGGTCGGAATAGGCCCGGAGCTAGGCCTGCATTAAGCAACGACACTACTCAATTATAATACAGACAATTATCTACTCAATTATAATGCAGTACAATTATCATCTGGGCAGCTTTACTTAGTACGTGGCTATTATTTTATTAGTAAAAGTTTGAGTGATCTTGGGAGAAATTTATCAGTACCGGATTTTGGTTACTTCGCAAATCCAGAGCTGAAGATCACTTCCGACCCTATCCGGATCCAATAAAATTACAGGATCTCATATAACAAACATTTATTTTTTTTTATTTTTTAAATATTAAGGTGAGTACTTGTGATCCAGGATTTTATTGATAGTATATTCAGCTAATGGTTGCATTACAAGCACAGAGGGCAATCATGGAAAAAGTGTATAACTAGTCATTTATATAACTTTAATCATTGTTTAATTTAAGTAGCCTACTTGAAGGTTTTATACTAGTTGTTATACCTAGAACCTGCTTATAAGTTCTCTATTTAAACACTCTAGTTCTTGTATCTACTCACTTACTTATATCTATCAATGATCCTGATTGATATTAGTAAAAATATATTATAGTCATTAAGTCTTTAAAGCAGTTTACTCATATAGAGAATCTTTAACCTTGTACTAAACTTTCTAGAATCTTTTGTATTATATTCTTATAGTTAATCTGATTATACTATAGTTGAAACCAATACTTGTAATTAGGATATATTATTAAACTATTATGCTCTTATAGAGTTCACTTTAACCTTGGTATTTACTTTATAATATATTCTTACTATTTTGGTATTCAATTCAAGTTCTATTAAACTCTTAGTTTAGATAGTTCAAAAAAGTAAATACAATTATATCTTTAGTTTATATGTTCTTTTAATATATAATTTTTTCTTTCAGAACAAATTCCAGTTGTCTAGCTAATTACAATGTTTCTTTCTTAAAGACTGACTTGTCTTTATCTAATTTCACAAGTTTTAGTTCTATTTTATACAAATTAAAATCAAAAATATAATCCAAATATCAATAAACAATTATCTAAATGATAGTTGACTGATAGCTTGTTGGCTGTTATAAGATTAAAAAAATATAATCATAAACTAATATAAATAAGATAATAGAAAAATTTATTATATTCAGATAATAAACATTAAAAATTATCAAAATATTATCTAAAAAATAATAGTATATTTTTAGCAGCATAAGCTAGAGTTATTAGTAAGCAGAAATAGATAGATAAATATAGAAACTAAAATGATTAAATAAGAAACTTACAAGCAGGTTTTAGATATAACAGCTAGTATAGAACCTTCAAACAGACTACTTAAATTAGACAATAACTAAAGTTGTACAAGTATTTAGTTGTACATTCTTTCTATAGTTACCTTTTGTGATTGTAATACAACTATTAGCCAAATATACTATCAATATAATTCTGAGTTACAAGTACTCATCTTAATATTTAAAAAAAAATAATATACTTATATATTTTTTTTCTTTAATAATTCTAATATTCTGATTAAAATCTTTAAAAAATAAAAAAAAAACTCTTTCTGCAAATCCATTTTACAAAAATTAACTAAAAATTCATCTGTCTAAAAACACTTAGAACTATTTATTTTACTAAACCAATTTGTCTTAATATCTTAAATAAACTTGTTTAGCTTAATATTTTATATATATTCTGCAAATATTATACTTATAAGTCTTAATCTTACTAAGAAAACTGTACTAATAACCTTTGGTTACAGTTTTAATAATTTAATCTTCTCACAGTTTCTATTACAATAACCTGTCTTACATCCTTAAGTAAAGTTGTAATACATATTTGTTCAGTTAAAACAAGCTCTAAACTAAGAATTTTAACTTAATATTGACTAAACTACAGCAAAATTTATCTTTTACTCTTTTGTAAAACTTTTTTTTTACTTTTTGTTTACCCTATTTTCTTTTTCTCTTATACATTTTTATATAACTATATTATCATTTCCTAATCTATACTTTATTAATTTATACAAAAATTTGTAACCTATCTATTAATAAAATTTCATTCAATACAACCTACTAATTTCTATATTTGGTTTATATTAATATTAAACAGCAACTATACTTCAAATTCTATTTATGTTTATTATTTAAGTTACAATAGTAATCTGTCTATTTTTTTACATTTTAGTACTCTTTAAGTTATATTCTAATATTTTTTTTTCTCTTTAGCAGCCTTACTGTTAATCTTTATTAAGTTTTGTATTTACAGATTTGTGCATACTTTGATCTAATTTATTGGTTTAACATCCTTTAGTTGTTTCAATGAGTGCTTAAAGATAGTTTGCTATATCAGTTGAGATGGTAACCCAAATCTAGTTTAATTAAATTTTCTATTTGACTATGCATCTCTTTACTAGGTAATTTTATATTTTTTTTTAGTTTTTTTTACTTTGATGACTAGTTAATGTTCATAAGCTTTTTCTATTTGATAATAGTTTCATAACTTCTTTTTCATATATTTTCATAAAACTCATTTCATGCTATATTGGTTATCATGTTTAAAAATTCTTTTGTTTTTTTAAGCAGCTTTAGTATGTTTTGTATTTGTTTAATTGTCTTCTTTTAAATTAGATATTTGACTATTCCTATTCTTGTTTTTTCTTTTTCTTGCTTGTTTATTCATCAAAGAATTTCTTTAAGTTGTTTTTTACTTATAATTATTTATATTTCATTTGAAAGTTTAGTCCATACAAGATTAATTGATAAATCTTCTATTTTTTTCAATTGTTCTTATAATAGTTGCATGATGCCAAATGTTTAAGATTTTCTTTTTTTTTCATTCAGAGTATGCAAAAAAGACTTTTATAAAAATTTGATCTTCATTGTATTAGAGATTTTAGTAATAGTAATCTATTATTAAGATATTTAATTAAAGTTTCTATTTGTATATTTTTTTTTTGGCTTATATATCTGCTTCTACTCTAGTCTTTATCTTTTTTTATAAGTATGTTCAATTATATACTTTTTTCTTATTATCTGGCTCTACCTTTTTAATTACTAATAAAAAATCCTATTTAGCTCCTATTTGTAAATCTAAAATTTTTTTAATAAACTTTCTTGTTAGATTTTTTTTTTTTTTAATTTCCTACTGCATGGTCACTAGTAGACTGCAGTTTTATTGGTTCATATTTCAAGTTCACAAAATCTTTTATTAGGATCTCATCTATATTTTACATTATTTGTGTACATTTACAATACTATCTATATACTAAT